TGAGTGCTAAAGACTTCCTTCCACGCTCTGCAAATCACAAAGGTGATTTGCTGCCTGTGGCAGCTGTTGAGGTGCCTAATTCCCAGGGAAGGATATAGGGTCTGTATTTTCTTACTACTGCACCTGTGCCTGCAAAACAGTTTGGCATTGTCACCCATGAGAATGACATCACAGGTGGAAGGGGAGCAATAGTGAAGAGGTGGTAGGAGTTACCTTTCTTTACTTCAGACTGTTGGAGGCCTAAGGGTGACCTTTGGAATCACAGGAGAAGAGACTGGAATTTCTGCAGATATGTTGTTCCACCCTAAAATCAGCACCCAAGCCAAATTATGGGGCTGGTCACATTTTGGAGGGTTGCAGCATCTCTGCAATGACTTAGACATGGAGTTTAGCCATCCAGAACACCTCTGTTAGCAGACGGGTGTTATATGACACAGATTTGTTTTAAGTGGCTGTGACGCGTTGCTGAGACTTGTGGGAGGTGGGGTGGCAGTCCCAGCAGGGCTGCTGTTTTTCTGTCCTTGGTGTGTGGTGTCTCCTCCCAGTCTCTCATCACCTGCAAGCATCACCAGCATACTCCCTCGCCAGTCCCTACAAGAGAGGCTGCACCGGCCTGATGCCAAGTCCCCACCAGAGCACAAAAGTTCGTCGAAAGTCCAAGGCACATTGCAGCTGGCTCTCCGGCAGCCAACGCCCTGGGCTAGCGGAGGGACTGGCTGGAGCCTGCATCCCCAGCCCTGGCTGCTCCTCCCCCAGTGGGTGCCAGATGGCCTCGGGCTGGGCGGCCGCCTGAGATCACTGCCTGACTTCACCAGGGCGGGAGTCTGGAGCAGTGACCCCAGCCCCAGGCACAGTGCCCGGGCCGGCTCTGCTGCCCACCCTGCGAGGTTGTGTACAGGGCTGGGGGTTGTGCCTGCGACAGGATTGTAAAAGAGCTGTGCTTCATTAGGTGGGTGAAAGCTCCCTTTTGCTCTGGTGTCCTCTGGGGGAGTTCAGGAATGCTTTTGCTTGGATGTGCTTTCCAGCTGCCAAAGGGCGCGAGATGACACTCCTTGCTTTGCGTCTCTTCCCTATCTGTATTATCCCTTCCCTGCCTGCATTATCCCTTCCCTGACTACATTTTGAGAATGCAAACACAGTGGCTGTCCTTCTGTGCTGATCAGGAAGGAGGAATTTTTATCTTCCCCTCATGGTCACAGGTGCAAGTCCAGGACAAGTAGGAACTTGCCTGCCTATCCCAGGAAGTTCTGGTGTAGGTCAAGTGTGTCCCTTGCTCTGGAGTGGGGACAAGTGGGGAGGACAGCTGGGGGAAATACTCAGTGAGGGGTTTTACCAGCCAGGTACCTGAGCACAGATTTCCTGTATAAGACCCATATGCAATCAGCCTCTGAACAGAGATGGCTGTCTGGGGGCAAAGGTAGGACTGGACAACTTCTCAAGGTCGCCACCACTGACATTTGTGCCGTTCCTATGCTAGAGATTTAACTGAGATCCCCATTAAGTCTTTCTCTAACACCTTCCTTATTAAGTGGTGTGTGTTAGTGCCTATGCTGTAAATAATAACAATTATGATAATAATCATTAAGGCTGTTTAGCAAAGTTGTTCTGTGGTTGTGCATATCCTTCTTAAGTGGATTTTGGTGTTGAACGGGACAGCAAGTCCTCTAGCAGTGGACTGTGGCTGTAACGAGCAAGGATCATTAGCAGCAGTGGTAAATAGATCTTTTTCCTACCCTTCTGCCAGGAACTGATGAAAATGTGTTACAAAAGTTCGAGCCTCCCAGCCATTTGGTAAAAGCTTCCTGCTCCACTCTGTAACATCAGCGGGCAGGAAGGCAGTGTTCCCACACACTCTGCTCCCCCATGTGAATGCACCCACCACCTTATGGGGACCTCACATGGGTCCAAAGCATCTGAAGCCCAGAAGCATCCAGGCTGGGTTTTTGTTCAGGGGCAGGACGGTGGGTAGTGTGCTCTGGGTGGTATCTGGAGGCAACAGCAGGCAGCCCGACAGGAGTAATTTGTGGCTTCCGGGAAGCAGTGCCTGTTTTTTGCTACTCCCTGTCCCTTCTGGAGGGCAGAGTAGAAGAGTTGCAAATAGCTCCCTCTGGCTAGCCTGGAGTGGGGAAAAAACACCATGCCCTCGGCTCAGGGCAGAGGACAGCCCACATGCTCTGTTATGGGTATTTTCTGCCTTCCCGGACTCATGGATTAGGATGTCAACAGCAAAGTCGTTTTGGCCCGGCCAGGGTCAGGAGCCTTTCCAGATGCTTGCATCTCTTTCCCTGGGCACCACAGCATCAGACCATGAAGCCGGGGGGTAGCTCTGAGTTGAATTCAGTCTCATGCCTTGGCTGTACTGGTAGGTGGCTGCAGCGTAGCTGTCACCTCCATGCTAGCCAGGCATCCTTGGCTTGGCCAACAATGTCACTCTTCTGTGTGGCCAGAGAGCCTGGGACCTCTGCTGAGTGGTGACCTTCTACTGAGTTGTGGGGAGAAGGGATGGAAACGTGTGAGCCACCCACCTCCTGCTTCCCACTGTCACTCATCTGGGGACACCACTAGTAGGACCTTGCTGCCTGTGCCTTGTGCCCACAGCTGTACAGTGTGCTCTGCCTCTGCAGACAGCTGCCTGCCTGAAATCCAGCCACCAGGCTGGCAAGGCAGATGGGAGTAGGCGGGAAGGGGTTGTGTGGCAGGCCAGAACCTGACAGCAAGGGAGGAGGAACTCCAGCCTCCTTCCTGAGTCCCAGACAGACACAAGTAGGGCTCATTTGGGCAAACTGGGCGTTTCTCCTGCCGGCATCTCCTCAGGCACAGAGGCACAGTGGTGCCAATGCTGCCTGCCATGAGCCAGCCCTGGGGCAGTCAGAGGTCAGTTAATGAGCTGGTGGGTGAGGATGGGCAGGCGGAGGCAGGAGCTCTGGAGATGCTGACGTGTCTGGTCCTGGCTGCAGTGGGCAGCTGCAGGTTGAGGTGGATGGGCCAGCCAGGAAGAGAAGCAGGGGAGTTGCATGGGTGATGGATGTCCTGGCTCTGCCTTTCCCTCTCCTCTTGGCACCAGGAAGGTCTCTCACCAGCTGCCTAGAGCTTGTCAGGAGTTTCTGTGTCAGAGACCTGTGCCCATCAGTTTGTCAAAACTGGCTTGTTAGTTTTAGGGAACAGATCATAGAGTGCATAAGAAGGGGCTGCGTCAGCCTTGTTGCTGAAGGAAATTAGGCTATAAAAAAACATTAGAGAGTGGAGGAAAGGGATCCCTTCAAGGCATATATGTGGTTCTCACTGGGATATAAAGACCCAAACTAGACACCACTGCTGAGTGACAGATGGAGGAGTCCCACCACAGCCATCCCTTGTCATATCACTGCTTTAGGGGCACATGTGCATGCCAGGGATGGTGCAGGGGGTCACTTATGTTGCTGTGGGCAGTTAGGAGGGTGCTGGGTGTGGGATGCTGATCCAGCACTGTTCTTGTGGAAACAGAAAAAAAAGGACTGTTTTAATGAATAAGTGACCATGAAAAACTTTCCAGGTTTTGATGGGAGAGTGCAAGTTCACTTTGGCAAGGAAGAATAGGAGACTGGTATCTGTGGCAGGCTTGGGGACACAGCGACCTGTTCCCTCAGTCACCTCCAAATGCCCCATCTAGGGTGTGTGAGACAGGCTGGTGCTGCCATCTGCTGCTGAGCATCTCCTCTGTCCCCCTCACTGGCCACCCTTGGACAGTCTAATGGGGCAGAGGCATCCTCTTTGTCCTCCTCCCCCTTAGGGCTGCATCTGGGCTCAAGGGAGCAGTCAATCTGCAAGGAGATTCCTGTTTGCCTGGTTGGGGGGGATTCTAACTGCTTTTATTTTAATCCTAAGCCTCTTTCTGTCTTGTAGGAGGGGATGAGCTGGGTTCACTGGCATCAAAGTTGCAGGAGATGCTGTTCATGAAGGGATTTCAGCAGCTCTGATGCTTTTCCTTCTGCTGCAGCGAGTTTCCTCATGGTCACTCGCTGGTCCCAGCAGAGACTTGGCATCAGAATTGGACTGCTGGGAACCAGGGGTCAGGAGACTGGGAACCTCAGAAGCTTTAAACTCTATTCAAATTTAGTACAGAAATAGCCCTTTTTCACTCTGGTGGCTGTACTAAATGTCACAAGTCATCTAAGTTTAGACTGTCACCAGCGTGCTCCTAAATATAAACTGCATGGGGCTCCTGACTGTATCCTGCTGGCAGAGGTTACGCTGAGGTGATCTGGGGGGGTCTACAGGAAGACAACCGCTATGGACAGAACCTAAACATGCTCCCCCTTTACTATTATTACCATCGGTGGCAGCTACGGTCAGGCAGCATCACTTGGCAGCATTATCCTTGGCTTTGCTCTCTGATTGGTATATGCCATCAGACAGAGGCTGGTTTCCCATGAGTGTGGGACAGTGTGCTGAGGACCCTGGAGATCGCAGCACTTGTCAGCTGCATCTTTGGTATCACTGCTGAAGTACCTGCCCTGTCGCCTGGTGGCTTTGCTGTGTTGTTGACCTTGACTTTGGAGTTGTCTCATCTTCAAGCATTCCTGGCTTTTGCTCTTGCGTCTGAAGGGCAGGGTGGAGTGTGAATTTGTCACTTAATCCTCTCATCATGGATAAAGAGGGGCTTCTCTGCCTCATTTGTGTGTCATCTGGCCCTTTCTGGGTGTGGGATGACTCTCACACGTCTTTTTCCAGTGACACACAAACGGTAACGGCCCTTGTATGTAGAAGCCCATCCTAGACCTCCAACTCCTCCATGTCCTATGACGCCTTCCTGTCCTGAGTTCAGAGGTCACGTAAAAGTCTTGCAAAGTCCCACACAGTGGGATAAAGCCAGAGCTGTAGGCAGGGAAAGGTATTTCTTTGGTTGTTTGTTCTCATCCTGCCTGCTTGGTGCAAAGATGTCCTCTGGGGTTGGGCAGAAGCAAAAGCAAGCCCCACTCAGCCCGTGGAGACCTGACAGTTTGGTACCTCTTCTCTTCCAGAACGAGAGTCCCGAGAGCATGAGGAGCCAACCACATCGGAGATGACAGAGGAGACTTACCCCCCCAAGGCCTACCGGCCCAAGCATGGGCGCCTCTCTGAGCTCAAGGCTGAAGCCCTGAAGAAGGACCGCCGGAAGAAGCTGACCCTGGCCAAGTTTGTAGGCATGGCCGAGAACACAGCGCACCCGCGTGTCGTCATCCCCGAGCTCCGGCAAGAGTTTGAGCTGGTGGGTGCCTTCACCTTCCCTCCACGGGGCTCCCATGGGCAGGTGACTGCAGGATGGCTTTTACCCCTGAGCAGCAGGTGCCAGTGGCAGAGGAGAGAGGGGACTCGGGGGCTTTTGCAGCTGGAGGCTTGCTGTGAGGCTGCTCCTGTTCTCACACTCCATCTTCTCCTGCTTGCAGGGCCCCTGCCGCAGGCACATGGAGGCATCCCTGCAGGAGCTGAAGAGCAGCCAGCGGATGGTCCCCCGTGCCGTCCACCTCCCCAACTGCGACCGCAAGGGCTTCTACAAGAGGAAGCAGGTAAGAGCTCCACAAAGGAGGGATGCTCCCCACCCAGCAAGGCTTTTCTCTGCCGCTGCCCTGGATGGGAGGGATGGAGGTTTTTCCTCTGCTGGGTTGGTGGGGATGTTGCTGTGAGCATCGCCAGGCACATTTGGTGGTGGGTGGCCTTGCTGATGGCTCCAAGTGCCATCTGGCCTGAAGTAAGCATCCTGAAGGAGCTGGTGAGGGAGGAGGAAAAGTCAGAAAACCCTGGGCTGGGGTAGCAGCAGAGATGGGCTGAAAGCAGAGAGCAGGGATTAGATCCTACCCAGGGGATTTCATCGCTGGGGTTATAGGGGCAAGGCCAGGGTTGATCCTGATCCCCTGCGTGAGGGAGCCAGCTCCTGATCTCTGCCCTTGGATGTCTCCCCAGTGCAAGCCCTCCCGAGGCCGGAAGCGTGGGTTGTGTTGGTGTGTGGACAAATACGGCATGAAGCTGCCGGGGACTGACTACCTGAGCGGAGACCTTCAGTGCCACGCCTTCGACAGCAGCAATGTGGAGTGAAGTCACATCCCCTCCCTCCACCCCATCACTACCTACCCAGGCTCCCTTCCACCCTCCCCTCTGCACCTCCCCATGCCCCAGGACTCCGATTCCTTTCATCTCATGTAAGAAGAAAAAAGAAAGGAAAAGAAAAAAGAGAAAGAAAGGAAAATGAAAAAAAGAGAAAGGGAAAGAAAGAAAGAAGTAAAGAAAGGAAAAACAAAAAGAGAGAAAAGAAAGTAAAAAGAAAAGAAGAAAAAAGAAAAGGAAAAGAAAACAGAAAAGGAAAAGAAAACCAAAAAGGAAAAAGAAAAAAGAAAAGAAAAGAAAAGAAAAGAAAAGAAAAGAAAAGAAAAGAAAAGAAAAGAAAAGAAAAGAAAAGAAAAGAAAAGAAAAGAAAAGAAAAGAAAAGAAAAGAAAAGAAAAGAAAAGAAAGAAAAAGAAAAGAAAAAAAGAGAAAAGGAGAGAAAATAAAAGATAAAAGAAAACCCTGAAGAAACTGAGGACTCGGAATCTATTGCAGCCTCTTGACAAGGACTCAGTAAGGAAAGGATAGAGCCAGAGACAAACCAGCCGCAGCCTCTCTGCTGTTCCTCACCTCTCCCTAATGCTGCCTGTGCCCCTCTGCCACAAGCAGAGGTCACCCTGATGTAGGAAGCTCTCCAAGTTGGTGAATTTCCAATATGGGTTTTGGGCAGGTTCATTTTTAATTTTTATTTTTTTTTCATGTTAGCTAGTTGATTTCTAAAGGGTCTTGAGAGAAAACCTTGCGGCCACCAGCACTCCCCTTGCAGTCCTCCGGAGTGTCCTTTCCACACTGCTGGGATTCACTCAAGTCAATTTGATTTCTGTCTAAAATGACTGCCCCCAATCCAGACAGATTTCAGCACATCATGGGGAGGCGTGAGATTGCTGGCTTCACGTCTGGAGATGAGCTGGGGAGGGAAAAACAGATCCTGCAACGGCACAAATACCCCAAAAAAGTATTTGTGGACTTCAAAAAAAATCATCCAAAAAGGAAATATATTCTTCTCTGTCCAGTTCTTCTGGAACGGAAGGTCAGAAATCATTTTGGACAAGCAGGACTCTGACCGTTGTCCATCTAGGTGTGGAAGCGTTTGTCACCTGCGTGCATGTGTACGAGTGTGTGTGTGTGTGCATTGACATGGCTTTTCCTCCTTGCAAAACTTCATCTTGAAACCTGCAGTCTTGAGGTTTCAGTGTAATATGTAATTGGGGGAGAAATGCTGCCCCTCCCAAAAACTAATAATAACCTGCTGGACTAAGCACAGAAGCAGAGTTACAGAGGAGCATCAGTGCCTGTGGGATCAGGGCCCCCTGAACATTGAGGGCTGCATCCTAGCCGACCCTGCTGTTACTCTGTCGCTGTCCAGACTGAAGTATCCCTACATGAGGACAGGGAGATCAGGGCTAAAACTCTTCACCACACTTTACCACCACAAAGACGACCAGCTATGGAGACTTTTTTTCCACAGCCAGAAACATGGTTTGCTCCAGGGGAAAAAAACAACTAAACCTCCACTTTGTTTGATCATGGTTTTTTGTTAAGCTAGTTTATAGCTTTCCGTGTGGGTAGGAAAATGCCAGCCTACATCCTTTCACTTTGAGGATACTGCTCATGTTGCCACAGCTGATTCCCACCATTCTGCAGTAAGATCCTGTGATGGATTGCCTTTAATCTGGGACCCAGCTCCTTGTTGAGTGACAGCAGCCACCGCACCACGGACACCCACTGCCTCAGGCATGGTTGGACAGCCCTCGTCTGCCTTCCTGACTTATTTGGTGTTTTTAACTTTTACATTCGATTTTGGGACTGTTGCCTCTTGCTTCTCCATGACAAGGGTCTCCACAATGCTGGTGCTGGGAGGAGATCCTGCAGCGAAGGGAAGGAAGGAAAGGAAAGGGAGTGGTGGGGGTGTGGGTGCTGCGGTCCCAGTGGGCAAACACACACCCACCAGGAACCACTTCCCACTGCCACAGCTGGAGCTGGCCAAAGGACACAACTGATCTCAGGGGGACGCTTCCTGCACCCCCAAAGCCCCTTTGAGCTTCCCAAACCTTGGCAGAGAAAAAAGGAGGTCCACAGCACCACTGGGTTCCCACCAGCGGGGATGGACAAGAGGGATTCAGTGCCGAGGGGTTCTGGTGAAGGCTTCTCACCATCACAGGTTGGGAGCCCTCATAGCCTCCCATGACATGGCATCACTCCCCTGAGCAGCCCCTGGGCCCCCCATCAGGACACTTGCCCCAGTCAAGGGCAGAACTGGACACCTGCAGTTACTTCCCTCAAAGTTACAGCAGGGGAGAACTTTGCAAATGGACTTCCACGGAGACCCAACGGACCTTCCCTTGCTGAAAAGAACAAAGTGTGCCACCAAATGCAGATCTGCCCCCCAGAAAAGCCTGCTGGAGCGGGGTAACCGCCGTGTTGCTGGAGGGGAGAATGGCGGGTGTTGTGGCCTAGGGAGGGAGGGACCTCTCTGTGCTCTGCAAGGCTGATGGAGCAAGGTTGATTTAACCAGGATGGTGGGTTAATGGTGGGGTGAAAGTGGGGTGAAGACAGGAGGAGGAGCTTGTGCCAACCACAAGGGCTCCTGTCCGCTTGCTGATCCCTGTGCAAAACCTCCTGACTGTTACAGGCCAGTACCACCTTTCCCAGGGCCCTTCCTTCTCTCTTCCTCTTTCTTGCTTTTTTGTTTGTTTGTTTTGTTGTTTAATTTCCCAAAACTTGAAAGCCTTTGGCTGCAGAGAAAGGAGATGTGCCGCCAGGGTGAGATGGGGACAGGCAGAGGGCTGCGGCTCCCCATGGACCTTGTCTTTTGGGGAGGATGCTTTTGCAGGGCGAGGGTCAGCTCACAGGGCCTTGTGGTGGTGTCGTGACAAGGCCACTACAATGACACTGGGAGGGGGCTGCAGGATGATTCCCCGACCTCTCCCTACAGAACAAGTCTGCATGGCTCCAGGAGCCCAGAGCACCAAAATCCATCCCACATAGCCTCCCTCACCACTGTGCATCCTGTGCTGGGACAGCACTGCCTGTCCTGTCCCCACCAACCTGGAGGGAGGAGGATGGAAGTCTGGGCTGCACCACCCCTGCCTCCCCACATCACCTTGGCTCCTGGGATGGGGCACCAAGTGACTCCCCTGGCTGCCCGCTCCCTCAAGGATCCCCAGCAGGACGAGGCTGTTTGTAGGCTGCACTAATATTTAGGACTGGGGTTGGAGCTGGGGATGTGACTTCAGGAGGGGTTGGTCACCCCCTGGGTTGGCAGTGACGAGGTGCTCCCATTTTCAGCACCCAGCAGCACCCCTTTGCATTTAGGGTGAGAAAACCAAAAGGGGTGGATTTGGGAGCTGGGGAGTGGGGGGGGTTGAGGCACACGGGGAGATGTTGGCAATTCGTGCATCAGGGGGAGGTGTGAGGCTCAGGGGTCTCCAGCTACAGTATCTGAGCCGAGCCCATGAAAGTATCTAGGATGCAAGCTGGGAAGGAGAGGACAAGGATGGCACAGGGGTCAGGACAGCCCTTCCACCACATCTGCCCAGGGAGCGGCGCTCAGCGGCTGGGCTGCCCCTTGTCTGTACTGCAGTGGACTTCGAAAACCACTAGTACAAGAGCATTTTGCACTATTTCTCCGCTCTCTCCCCCCTTCCCTTTTTCTCCACCTTCCCGATGGAAACTTCTTTGCTGTTGGTTTGGGGTTTTTTTGTTGTTGTTGATTTCTGCCCCCCCCCGCCCCCAAATGGAGCATTGTATATTTAACGACCAACAGTTCACCTTGCTTCCAGACCCCTGTCCTGGCCCTGGCTAGGAGCCCTGCCTACTGTGCCCCCCTCCCCAGCCCCACCAGCCCCCTGCCACTGCCACCGGGACAGACGTCACCGTGCACGTTACCCACCGTTCTAACACAGTTGTTAAAAACACACCAGATTCCGAGTTTCCTGCCTGGTTTTTATCTTTAAGCAATACTCACTACACATTTTACGGTAGCTTTTTATAGCTTTACATACATACGGTAGCTCTGTTGTTTCGTTTTTGTTTTGTTTTTGTTGTTTTGGTTTTTTTTCCAGTAAACAAGAAATACTCATAATCTTACTGGTGGGAAAAAAAAAAAAAGCAGTTTGTGAAAAACTGACAATGGAAGAAGAGCTTAATGCTCTGTTTAGCATTTTGTACTTAAAAAAAAAAAATCTCACATTTTATTAAAAAGTGAAGATTGCTGTATACTATTTATTCAACTTATAATTTATGTTACTCTTTGATCTTTGTCTTTTCTCATGACAAAGCATTTATTTAATAAAGTTATGCATTCAGTTAGCTTCTGCCTGACCCTCGTGGAGCATCCTGTGTGCTGGGGCCTGGCAGTGAGCTGCTCCAGCCCCGAGCATTCCACAGCGGGTGGTGTTGGGCCATTTGGGGGGCTCATCCAGCTCCATGAGGGTGCCTGGGGAGGTACAGGGCATGGGGCAAAACAGTGGTTTAGAAGAGCTTTTGATACCGGAGCAGTCTGCTAGATGAGCAGCAAAATTGCATGTTTGAATTTAGAGCATCCTAAAAGCAGAGCTACCTTATTTTTTTTAGAATTTTCCTCGCATAGATGTGGCAGTATGGTACAGCATGCAGATTCAGCGAGCTTACCAGGAGAAAGTACCTGGCAACCAGTGATGTTAAGTTCCTAAATGCTGTCGCAAACTGAGCCCCACAGCTTGGGATCAGGTGCAGTGTTTGGGCCTCAGACCTCGCAGGGCCACTGGAAGATTTGTCCCATTGTCCCAGCATGCAGGAGCATCCCTGGGGCAGCCCAGCCCAGCCAGGGTATAGTCATCACCTTGTGGTAGCCCTTGGTGGCTCTTCGTACTGCCCCATGCCCTCCTCAGTGCCAGATCTGTCCCTCCGCCACTGCCCACACAGCCATCACCCTTCATTCTCCCACTCGCCCCCTCACGTCCCTCCTCCTGTGCCTTCTTCCCCTCCACTGAACTGCCCAGCATCATCCGCACGTGGCTAGGGCAGGGGGGGAGGCAAAACCATCCCCTTTGCCCCTGCACTGGCAAGACCGAGGGTTGTCAGAGCTGTGCTAATGCGCATCTCCCATCCTATCTGCACCACCTGGGGCTGGCACAGCCCCCCGTCCCCGATGGACACCCCACAAAGCTGAGCCTGCACCCCATGGGG